GGGCCGGGGCTGTACGGATCCCTCAGGTTTGACCTGGGTTTTTTTCTGGATCTGGCCTCAGCCGCTGCCCGGCACGCATACTTTCCCTTTGATCTCTCGCCTCCGAGTCTTTTCCTCTTCCCTAAGCATCCCTGTTCCTTGCTCTCCCGGCAGAGCCCCCGACTCCCTTTCCCAGGAACTGAAAACCTTCCTCTTAAGCAGGGTAGGGGTCCTGTGGGCGGACGGGACCCTCGCCTCCCGCCTGCCACCCTCGGGATCCCCGGCTGCCGGCCGGCGTCCCGCCGCACTAGTCCCTGAAAGGGCAGGCAAGGGGCGGGCCTCGGCGCGCAGGAAAGGCTGCTCCCTTCCCCGCGGCTCCCACCGAAGGACACTTGCTCCGGGGAACCAGGAAGCAGGAACTCCCAGGTTCTATTCCCGGATCCACCGCCAGTGCCCGCACGCCTGCCCTCCCCGGCGTTAGTCCTTTCAGTTCTGTCCGGTGAGGATCCACAAAGCTGTCACTGCGGAGGCTAAACCACATGAGGGAAAGGGCACGCAGTGCGAAGTCCGTGTAGATACGGCATACGGTTTTTGGACTCAGTTATTCAATGAATATTCATCCAGCGTGTATTATTTGCCCACCAAATGCTGTGAAAATAGTAACGAAGGATAAGACCTCAGCAGCTACCCTCAAAGAACTTATAATTGAACTGGGAAGACTCGGTAGATAGCAGAGGATGTAGTGGGAATCAGGATTTTAAACAAGCGTGCCAAATGAGTTTAGTCTCTTGTTGGGGAAAGGGGTGGTATTACTGGTAACACACTGGGCTCCTGTTCGGAAATCTTCATAACAAATTGGCTTAAAGCAGTATGTTATCACGCAGGTGTATCAGCGACCTCGTTTGCAGGCTTGAAACCAAAGGACTTTTAGCTTTATCCAAAAATCAAGCCCAGTCTGTTAAGGAGCATTATCACTTAACTTTGTATTGCAGTGATTTTCCAGATCTTATCTCCGTTACCAAACAGAAACTTCCTTGAAGACAGGGTAAATGTCTGATTTATCTTATCATTCACACAGCACCAGCCTGGTGCCTGGAAAGAGAGGTGCATTATAGTTGATGAATGGAAAAAAAAAATGCTACCAAGGATGATATTGAAAAGAAAGTGCTCTGAATGGCAAAGTTATTTCCGAGAGGAGCTCCAAAAGTATTTTGAGCAATGACAGGGACTAAATATCCAATCTCACAAGGTGATGGCTTTGAAGGAAGCAGCCCTCATTTGGATTTATACATTCTGGTATGCTTGTTAAAATAATGAGTCACATCACAGTCCGGTCACATCTCATACACATGAAAAGATTGCAATACAACGCAGTAGGCACCGAATTAAGTACACACTGTAAACACTAATTCAGCAGCCTGCAAAACTCTATAGAGCAGTTCTACTCTGCACACATGGCGTCACCATGAGTTGGAGTCCACTCAGTGCTAACTGCCATGAGTTCAACTGTGTCCCCCCAAAATATGTGTCAGCTTGGCTAGGCCATGATTCCCAGTATTGTGTAATTGTCCATTTTGTGATCTGATATAATTGTCCTCCATTTTGTGGTATTGTGCAGTTATCTTCTATTTTATGTGTTGTAAATCCTAAACAGGATTAGTGTGGGGTATATCTTGAGTCACACCCTTACTAAAGGGTGTGATTCAGGTCACCACCTTACTCAAGATACACCCTACTTAAGTCACACCCTTATGTAAGTCACACCCTTGATCAAGTCACACATTTTATCTTACAAGAAATAAAAGAGAGAAGCAAGCAGAGACAGGGGACCTCACCACCACCAAGAAGGAAGAGCTGGGAGCGGAGCATATCCTTTGGACCTGGGGTCCCTGTGCTGAGAACTTCCTAGACCCAGGAGACAGAGAGGTGTAACACCGGAGATGGCACAAAATGGTGAGAAGTGGCGGCAGAAAACTAGTAGCACCAGAACCAGGAGACCAGCAGAAGATGGCACAGTGGGTGTACTAATACATGGAGTGAGAGAGTTGAGCACCTTCAGGAAGGAGGCTTGCTTGTGGAGTGGAGTGCCTTCAGGTCAAGATTTACTGGTGGAGTGGGGTACTTCTGGACACTTATCAGTGAAGCTGAAGAGCTTTGTAACACTTGTCCGAGCAGGGCAGAGGCTGAGAGAGAGAGAGGCCTGCCTGCGGGCATGGCTGAAAAGCTGTTCTAACCCAAGAACTATATCCTGAGTCACTGCCGATCCTGAATTATAACCTGTTATGCCAAGACACATGGAGATCTCCAAGGAACGTCGGATCCACAGATGCTGAAAGGTGACAAGGGCCTTCCCCCAGAGCCAAGAGAGACAGAAAGCCTTCCCCTAGAGCCGCTGCCCTGAATTCAGACTTCTAGCCACCTAAAATGTGAGAGAATAAATTTTGTTAAAGCCATCCACTTGTGTTATTTCTGTTATAGCTGCACTAGATAACTAAGACAGTAACTAACAACAAAGACAAAGTGATTTTGTACACACCCTGCCCTTCCCAGGGGTATTTACATTTCTTAAGGGACACAACTTGACTTTCAGGAATGAATCTATTGGTGGAAATATTTCATCTGTCTGAATCAAGCTGGAAGAGACCCATCTGGCTCCCCTCAAATTTCATCATGTAAGCCATGACTGACCTCACTTCCTGGTGATCCAGACCACTCTACCTCATCCTACAAATGGATCAAGCTTGGTGACAGGTGGTGCAGGAGGAGGAGGGCAGGGGTGTGGTCAGAGCTGGTTTTGATGTGGGAAGGGTATTTGTGTTGCCTATATTCCAAAGTCAAAATAAAAAATCATATTAACTACTTTTACCATGTGTTGTTTGGTATTATTTCCATTTCTTTAATAAATTTTGTTTTTCCAATCCACATGATTATAATTAAGTAGATTATCCATATGAGTCTTTCTTAAATTCAACCACATCTATATGATGAAATTGTATGCAGCTATTAATAATATGTTTTTAATAAACCAAACTTTGATGACGTAAGGAGTGAAAAAGTAGGTTCTAAAAACAGTATATATAGGATGATTTTACTTCTGAAAAAATGAAAATCTCTGAATGATTGAAGATAAAGGGAATTTCTTATTTTCTCCTTTTTATTTGTCTTTATTTTCTGTAACAAACTTGTTAACGAGTCGCTGTTGAGGCTATTCTGACTCATGGCAACTCCATGTATGTCAGAGTAGAATTGTGCTTCATAGGGTTTTCTTTTTCTTTTTATTTTGTTGTTGTTGTTGAGAATATACACAGCAAAACAGAGACCAATTCAACCATTTCTACATGTACAATTCAGTGACATTGATTCCATTCTTTGAGTTGTGTAACCATTCTCACACTCCCATTAACATAAACTCACTGCCCCGTAAGGTTCCTATCTAATCTTTCGAGTTGCTGTTGTCAGTTTGATCCCATATAGATAGTTCTTAAAAGAGCATAATGCTCAAGGCAGACATTTTTTATTAGTTAAGCTGAATTATAATTTGGGTTTAAGAAGACTTCAGGAGATTTTTTTGGTGTAAAGATTATCTCAGGGCAATAGTTTCAGTTCATCCAGACCCCATGGCTCCAGAAAGTCTGGAGTCCATGAGAATTTGAAATTCTACATTTTCCCCCTTTGGATCAGGATTCTTCTATAGAATCCAAATTTTTGATCAAAATGGTCAGTAATGGTAGCTGGGCACCATCCAGTTCTGGTCTCATGGCAAAGGAGGCAGTTGTTCATGAAGGCAATTAGTCACACATTCCATATCCTCCTCTTATTCCTGATTCTCCTTCTTCCTCTGTTGCTCCAGGCGAATAGAGACCAACTGTCATGCCTTAGATGGCCACTTGCAAGCTTTTAAGACCCCAGACACTACGCAATACAATGCAATTAGGAACAGAAACACTAAACATGTTTTTAGGCCAATTAACTGGGATGTCCCATGAAACCATGACCTAAACCTCCAAACCAAGGAAACAGATTCTATGAGGTTTTTGGTTGTACATAAGCAGCCTCAGCAGCTACTCTTTTTTTTTTTTTTTTTTTATCACTGTTGTGAATATATCTATTACACAACTTTTGCCAGTTCAACTTTTTACAGGTAAACAACTTACTGACAGCAATTACAATAATCAGCTGTGCAACCCTACCCTTAATCAATGCAATATTTCCATCACTGTTAACCCCCCTTTTCCCCTACCTCCCACCTCTAGTAACCACTAATAAACTTTGGTCTCTCTACATTTGCCTTTTCTTGTCTTTTTATGTAAGTGAGGTCATAACAATATTTGTACTTTTGTGATTGATTTATTTCACTCGGCGTAATATCTTCACGTTCCCTCCATACTGTAGCATGTACCAAGACTTCATTTCTTCCACTGGCTGAGTAGTATTCCATAGGGTTTTCAATGGATGAATTTTTGGAAGTAGACCACCAGGCCTTTCTTCCAAGGCACCTCTGGGTGGACTCATACCTCCAACCTTTCAGTTAGCAGTTGAGCGTGTTAACTGTTTGCACCACCCAGGGACTCCAACAACTTGTACTTCTTTTATAATCAGAAAAAAATTGTAATTACAACTATATACCACTGTATATCTATTCTTTCCCTAATTTCTCTACATCACTTAAAAAAAAAAAACACCCACAACTAGATTTAATAGCCTAATAAGAAATTGACCAGGGCAGAATCAAGAAAAGATTATTTCCTATCCTTTAGGTAAAAGGCAAATATATTGCTTTTGAGATATCCTCAAAGCATACTCTACACCGCTGTCCCCCTCCCAGGACCTTCAAAGAGTATTATGTGGCTGACTCTTATTATGCTTATGGTCAACTG